TCAAAATAAAACTTCTATGGCTATTGTAGTCCTTCAGACTCGCACCCGGGCCCTGGACCAATGTACCAGCTGAACCCCACTTTCCTCTCAGTCCCTCAGGTCCCTACTTTGGTTCATCACTTTCTTGTGGATTCTACGGTTTACCAGCAAGCTTGCAAAATTTATCTCCACTGTCGCTCTACCATCCTTCCTTTATCTTCCCTCCTTGTTGGTCCTGCCTATGACTTTGAATCACTTTTTGACTTATCAGCAACTGCTTTACTACATGAACTTTGACGTATAGCCCCTTGTGTCCCTTCCAGCCCTTCCCTCACTTCTGATCCCCTTTCCAACTAGCTGTTTATAGACCTAGCACTATTTTTTGCCCTGTAGCGCTGTATGACCCTTGTCGGTTTAGCGCTTTATTCGATTATAATAATCCTCTTAGTCCCTAGTTAGTGCCGCACTTTATGCTTGTAGACACTCAGCAGAAACCTGCCCATAAATAGGAGGAGGCTGCAACAAGGATTGCAGTTTGGATTCGACAAGTGAACACGTGACAAAAGTGTACCTGGCTGGGCCACACTGCATTGAATGCAGAAACGTTTGTGGCCATATTCGTGTGCACATGTGAATCCCAAGTTGTGCACTGACAATCTCCAGGAAGAAGTGTAAAGACACTTCCTGCCATGGATAATTACGGATTATTGGTGAATGATAGTCGTCACGCAATGTGTGCCAAGTAGACAACAGAAGTGAAGACTAATGTCACTATACATCCCAAACCATCGACAGCAGCTTCCTTGACGCTGTAATGTCACTGCCTCCCGCTACAGTGAGCCAGGTAAGTCACTATTTTACCCATCATCCTAATTACCACTGCAGTGTCTATTATCAAAAAAAAAGGGCTAAACCGCAAGTGTTATACAACGCAGCAGGGCAGAGAAGGATGCAGGGGAAATAGGTGGCAAGAGGGAAGAGGGAGGGGGATGATTATTAGGGTATGGAGTGCAGCGGGGCAGGGAGTAGAGGGTAGAAAGGATGGAGGAGTGTGCTACAAGCATCATCAGAGTTTGTGTGGTAAATCAGTTGCTGTCAAGAAGTCAATGAGAGAGGCTGGATAAAGAGGATCCATCAGCAAGAAGGGAAGGTAAATAAAGGGCAGCAGAGCGGAGATGACGTTGGAGGTAAATTCTGCATGCTCACTGAGAGTGGACAGTCCAACAGAATGTGGCTAACAGATACTGGAACTTGACAATTCTCACAGATGAACAGTGCCTCTCCATGAGATACCCGTTAGTAAGAAGTGTGTGGCCGATGTGAAGACGGGAGATAGTAGCGCTGAGGACAAAATCTTGTGGAACTCCCTTGGCTTGTACAAAGTCCAAGGAAAGCGAGGCGCCAATAAGGACCCGAAAATGTCTATCGGACAAGAAAGCAGTGATGAAGTTTGGTAGATTACCGCAGAGGCCTAAGGAGTGGGCTTGGGCTAGGATGTTATACCTCCAAGTGGTGTCATATGCCTTTCCTAGATCAAAAAAGACAGCTAGGACAGAGTGGTTGTTAGCAAAGGCATTTTGAATATACATATCTAAGTGAAGCAAGGGGTCTACAGTAGAGTGGCCTTTGCGATAGCCATATTGGGGAGGGGAAAGGCTATTGTGCCTCTAAGAACCACATCAGACGTCCATTCACCAATTGTTCCATCATCTTGCAGACCACACTGGTCAGGGCAATGGGACAATAGTGAGAGGTGTCAAGTCCAGAGGCGCCCGGTTTGCGAAATGGTAGTACAATAGCCGATTTCCAGAGTTGAGGGAAAACCCCTAGTTTCCAAATTAGATTGAAAAGACGTAAAAGAACGGGAAGGGCTGTAGAATGGAAAAATTGAGGCATACTGATGTGGATATCATCAGGTCCTGGTGCCGATAGCTGGCAAATAGAAAGCGTGGACACCAGTTCCTGAAGAGTAAAAGGTAAGTTATACGACTCCAACCAATCAGAGGAGAAATCCAAGTTCAATTGCTCTTTGGTAGGTTTAGATGAAAGAAATGAGGGACAGAGGTGAAGCCCTTGGGAGATACGGACAAGATAGTTCCCGATTGCTGTGGCAACTTCTAAGGGTTCCACGATGTCAACTTCAGCAACCCGCAAAATGGGAGCTGGGTCCGGAGTGTACTTACCACACAATTTTCGCACCTTTTTCCAGATTGCGCACATAGGGGAAGACAAGTTAATGGTAGACACGTATTCTCGCCAACAAGTGTGTTTAGTGTTGTGGATGACGCGGCGAGCAACTGCCCTTGCCTGCTTAAAATCCAACAGACGCTCCGCAGTGTGATTATATCAATAACGGCCCCATGAAGCACATTTTAAACTCACTGCACAGGTACATGTAGGAGACCACCAAGGTACGCATGCCTACCTGAGGTTTGGGGGATAGAACGCATCGCCGCAGTTAGGACTAAGGTCGAAAAATAGTGTGCCAGTTCATCAATAGAGGATGAAAGGGGGTCCTCACAACAGGTGGTAAGATGGGAGTGTAAGTCCCAATCTGCTCGAACTAATTGCCAACGAGGGCTACAAAACGGTTGGGCACACATAGAAGAAGTAAGAAGGATGGGAAAGTGATCACTATCATGTAAATCTGGAAGAACAGACCACAAAAAATCAAGTGCAAGGGCGAGGAACAGATAGAAAGATCAATGCAGGAGAGAGACCGAGTATGAGAGTCAAAATGGGTAGGAGAACCCGTATTTAAAACATGAAGAGGATGAGATGAGAGAAGTCTCTCTAACTGATCACCATGAAAGTCACAGTGGGACCCTCCCCACAGGTGATGGCGAGCGTTAAAATCAACCAACAACAATATGGGCGGCGGTAAAGATGAAATTAAAAATGCGATATCAGAGATTCAGAATGCACAGGAGGGAGACATAAAGAGAGCAAACTGTAAGCCATCGGTGTAAATACATACAAGCTGCAGTATAATGCAGTGGGGAATGAATAAAAACTTGTTGATACTGTATATCAAGGCATAGAAGAGGTGCACTTTCATTAAAAGATTCGTCAGGTAAAGGATAGGAAGAATGCATCATCAAGTAGCCCAAAATGGAACGAATGACAGCAGAATGAATTTTGGGCTCTTGCAGCCTAACACATACTGGGGACAAATGGGAGAGCAACAATTGGAGTTCTCCTCAATTGCCCCTAAGGCCACAAATATTCCATTGTAAAAAAGACATTATGTACAAAAATAAAGACAACAAAAAGAAATGATAAAATCAATAGGCTTTTAGGATCAGTAAAGTTAATGTGTGGGGGTAATGATAAGCATGTAAGCAAGGAAGAATTAGAATATTGCGGAGGAATAGATTGATGTATGGGTCACGAAATAGAAGGGGTAGATGGAGGCGCGTTGGCTTCCATTGGGGGTATCATCTCCGTTATATAGCTGGAGATAGCATCTAACGTCTCGGTTGATAACGAAGCCGACGATGCCATGATGTCAGAGACATTGCAAGTAAAGGTGGGAGCAACTACAGAGGCAACCAAAGAGGTCTGAGGAGGGCAGGGAGCATGAGTCTGGAGAGATGCAATGGCTGGGGGAGAAGAGTCCTGCAGTGTAACAGGAGAGGAAGGAGGTTGGAGGGCAACTATGTTACATGGGGGGGGGGAGAGGGAACTACACTAGGGGAGGGTGAACCTCCACCTTTGTGTGAGAGCTGGCTGCCATGTCTAGGGTTGATGTTAGGTAAATAGGTCTAACCATTCGAGGCCATGATGGGCGGGCCCATGCCCAAAACACAGCAGGGTGTGTATTAATCCTCGTTATACTCACCTTCCTTTCAGCCCTGGCAAGTAATTAGACAGCAGACATCGGAGGCAAAATCCCTGGAGGAGGATGCAGATGGTCTTGAGCTGTCAACAAAAAGATGAGTACCCCACTATACAGTGGTCCTTTTATTTCATTAATGTACTCATCTTGCCCAAAATTCCACACAGATAAAGAGCCCCCTCTCACTACGATCAAGGAAACTCCCTCGAGAGCAGTTTATTAATGCTCATGGGAAAGCTCTAAACCCATAAGGGACATACACCATCTTGTACAACAGTAGGAAATTAAGACTAATCTTGAACAGTGCTTTTCTGTAAACTGTAAGCATGCAATGGATGCAACATTTACTTGCATCAACCCCTCAAGGGAAGCTCCTGAACCTGGTGAGGGGCTCTTGATCTGAGGAATTGAACCTACTCTCCCCTTCCTTGGATCAAATGCCTCCCACTCTCCCAAGCACTCTATGACCACTATGGGGTTATAGTGTTTGGGGGGAAACTATTTCATTGCAATTACAATTGCAATTTTAAAAGACTGTAATAATTTAAAAAAAAATGCAGTTTGAAAAACTGTACCTTACATTATTTGCTCAAGCAAATAATGTGAAGTACAGTATTTGCTTCAGCAAATAATGTTGAAGTTGAAAGTGTAGCATTTAAAGTATGTAGTACCAACATGCAAGAAAAAAAAAAAAAATTATTTATAATGCTAACTTAGAAAAATATACTAATGGTAGGAAAATAATGGAATGGCAAATCTTGTTAAAACCTTTGAGTGTGAGTGAGCTATTTGCTAGGCTATATGAAGTGTGTGCATTAGCTATTCTCTGATATACAGGTAGATTATTTTCAAAATGATTAATTTTTGCTTGGTTAATTGTGTATGATACATATTATTGAATTGCATGAAATATTAAACTTGCATCAAAAAAATATCCAAAGTGTATACATAGCAAGCAGAAGGCTAAAAGGCAATGATTATAAGTATACTGGTCTATCATTACTATTGAATAAAAAAGTTCTGTGTAATATGACAATTTTTGGCTTTCAGTAACATTTAAATATGGAAACCAAGCAAATTATTCATGTGTAATCATTCTGTTTAGTCACTGGCACTTAGGAGAAAATATACATTATAATTACCAATCTGTTCACTTTGTAGGGACTAAAGTATAAGCTATTAATAAGGAACATTATTTCTGTGCATTTACTAATATTTGACTTACAGTAGTGTCATTAAACCAAATTTCTTATGTTCACATCCCCTTTGCTTATTTTATGTACAGTATTGTATAATTATTATAATTATAATAATCAAAAAAGCGCTAAACCTACAAGGGTCATACAGCTCTGTACAGAGTAATAACTTCAGAAAGTATTGTAGTACTATAAAAAGTACTATATAAAAAATTCAGAATAACTGATGGCTAAAAATATGTTATTTATAATTAAATGTCTTCTCATAATCAACATTAATATAGGCATAATCATGACTGCTTTTCTGACTGGAGTCCAGCAAAGATTTCATTGGTCTGCTGAGTAACACGAATGAAAGTGGTGCGTTTAGGAAGCTCCTTAAGTTTACCAGCACCAGTGTATGTACATGCAGATCGTAAGCCACCTAGGATATCCAAAATGGTGACATTTACATCACCTTTATATGGGATTTCTACAGATTTCCCTTCACTTGCCCTGTGGAAAATAATGAAAATGAAAATTAATATCCTAAATTTAATTTATCAAATTTATCATTTATTAAATTTAATTTATTAAATTTATCATTTTTAAATTTGTGCACACATGAATATAAATACTGTTACTGTTCAGAAGGAAGTACTAAATCAGTCTTGGGTATCATACAACACCAATATTTAAAACAGTATATATACACTGTCTTCAAAAGATGTGATCATGCATTATGTACTCCTGATAATTGTGTTTCTGGCTAGAGTAGTTTTTGGAACAAGAGTGGGTCCAGGAATGTTGGCACCTATGCATTCTTGTGATAGTATGGAATTTTATGAATCTTGAGTCATTTTAACCCTTTGACTGTTTTCGACGTATAAATACGTCTTACGAGCCAATGTTTCTGACGTATATATACTCAATAATTCTAGCGGCTTCAAATCAAGTGGGAGAAAGCTGGTAGGCCCACATGTGAGAGAATGGGTCTGTGTGGTCAGTGTGCACCACATAAAAAAAATCCTGCAGCACACATTGCGTAATGAGAAAAAAAAAAAAACTGATCGTTTTTTTGGAATAAAACGCCGACTTTGAGGTGTATTTTCGTATAGTATTTATCATTGTATTCGCGTTTTCATGGTCTTAGGTGATAAAATGGAAAACATATTACAGAAATAGAGATGATTTTCATTACTTTTACGATGAAAACGACCTTGAAACTAAGCTCAAAGTAGCGAAAATGTTCGATTTTTACCAATGTTGAAGAGTAAATAAATCACACCACACGTCCAATACACGTCAACTAGGGAGTCTAATATTCTTTCACTAGTGCACTGATATTATTTATACCATTTTTACAATAATGCAGTCGTCTGCATAACAGTAAATTTTGTATTTTTTTGTATGAATAAAAAATCAAAATAGAAAGCAATAATAATATAAGAGGGGCCTAGAGATGTGACTAATGAACAGAGCATATGTTATTTTAGTGCCACGAATGTCTACCTTGTTTATTCAGGACCCTATTTTGAAATTGGCATCTTTTTTATTTTGCGTGAAATTGGCCAAATTGCCAATTTCTGACCACCATATTGGGTAGTCCAAATTAGTAAATGGGAGGTTTCTTGTACTCAGCTGATAGATAAAATGGAGTTCTAAAGAAATAGCTATGAGTTTGGTCAACTGGAACAATGGAATTGGCTGAAAATTGGGCTCAAAGTCGGCGAAATCGCCGATACTCATATGTCGCCGAGACCGCTAACTTCGCGGGACCATAATTCCACGAGTTTTCGACCAAATTTCGAACTTTTAGTGTCATTACCATCGGGAAAAGATTCTCTATCATTTCATAAGAAAAAATAATTTTTTTTTTTCAAAAATTGAGCGACATAGAATGACAGTTTCAGAGAGGGGCCTGAAACAGTCAAAGGGTTAAACTCAGAAAAACTGGGCCAAGATAAAAACAAAGTGGAACTTTCAGTACCAAAATAGTACATTTAATTCTAGGTATACAACCGAAATGCCATTATGTCATTGGCAGCAAACGCCTGCACCTCACCTCTACGAGTGCCAGCGTCAAACCTGGGCATATGCTTACGATTTCCACACACTGCCACACACATCTGTCACGTTCACTCGCAAAAAGTCACCGAGTGAGGGGCTTGTGTACCAGTTATCAGTATGTAATATGTGCCCCTTACCAAGATATGGTTCAATCAGTGTTCTAACCACATCACCAGAGATGCCCAATAACTTCCTGGTATTTTGCAATGTATTACTTCCAGTGTACACAATAATATCCAATACAACACCACTCAGCAGTCACAAAGCACAAACAACTTTATACCAAGGCGTTTCCTCTTGCTTGTATATACTGCTTCAACGACAGTCTTCCTTTGAACAGAATCAAAGACTCATCAATAACAAGCTTCCTGAAGGGATAAAAATACATATTGAAATTCTGTTTCAGATACACAAACACATTCCTAATCTTATATAACCTGTCATTTCTGTCAGGCCTGGTTTTGTCTGAGAAGTGAAGCATACATAATAGTAGCACAAATTGATTCATTCTTATTACATCACTGAAACCTGGGGTTGCAATCAGGCGGTCTGTTGACCAGTATGATTTGACACTGTGCTTATATACATGTGGCATAAGCATTATTGTGGCAAAGAAAAGATGCATCTCAGCCACAGTTGTCTCCTCCACTGGTGTAGGCGTGATTTTGGTGAAAGTATTGTGTTTGCCATGGTGTACCCGAAGTATCTGTTGCTTTCCCTGACAATAATTTCCATCAGGGGTTCGTCAAAGAATAACTCGAAACATTCTAGTTCAGTGGCATTGTTCCCAAGTGTATGAGATGGCCATATTCCACTTTGACTTTCATCAAAGTGATGGGGACTGGGAACAAAATTGTCAGCTTCCTCCCAATACCAGGTGCGGTCTGCTGGTGGGTACTGGATATTGACAGGTGGTTGTGGAGGTTGTGGCTATGGAGGTTGTGGTTGTGGAGGCTGGTGTGGTGGGTGGGTGGGGGATGGTGGCCTTTGTTGTAGTTCAGCTGAGTCAGCGGCATGGGTGGCAGCATGGCCTACTGCTGGTGCCTCACAGCTGGCACCACCACCAGATACATGCACATTTTCCATCCCAATTGCAACACTATCATCTTCATTTTCACTATATGTTCCTGTTGTACAGCCATGGGATGTACTCAGAGATGTACTCCTTCCCTTTGAAATAGCATATGGCACACTACCAGAGCGCATATCCCGTCGTATATACCGACGCTTCACTGGAGAATATTCTACTTAACCCTCGCTACTGGAACTGTTTTCAAGAGCTTGTAGCTCATATTCACTATCACTATCACCATTGCTCACATCCGAGTCCTGGATATGGGAAAATACGAGTTGCCTCTTTTGTTCTGTTACAACTGAATGTGAACAAGACGGTCCAGAACCAGAGACGGAAGGTTGAGGGTCATCTGGATTTTCCTCACTATTACCGGTATTATAGTCATTAGTTTCGGTCACAACCTCATCAAAACCTTGAAAGTCATCTTCACTGACACTTCCATCTGTATTAGAACTGTCACTGGGGAATAAAAGTGTTCCAATTCACCGAGGAGTGAGGAGTTTCTTACTGCGAGGCATGGTGAACAAGGTGTACTAAAATGGCATTCCCACAATGCACCACTGGGTCCACGAATTTTTTCCTACTGCGTACACTGACCACGCAGACCCATTCTCTCACATCTAGGCCTACCAGCCTTTTCCCACTTGATTTGAAGGTGCTACAATTTATGCCGAAATTATCATTAGCTGAATTAATTTTCCCCATAAGAAATAATGGAAATCAAATTAATCCGTTCCTGACACCCCAAAGTATGAAAAAAAAAATTTTACCACATGAAATATTAATTTTAATACACACAAACTGAAGAAGACATGCACAATTACTACTCTACTAAGAATAGAATACACGATACTTAACTTTATTGAAGATCTGGTGATGACTGATGGGATGGGAGGAAGGGAGAGTGTGGAAGTTATTGTTTAGAAGGGTAATCCCCTTCCATTAGGACTTGAGGTAGCAAGTCCTTTTCCGGGGTTACTTCCCTTCTTTTAACCCTTTGGGGGTCAACAGGTCCTCTCAGAGACTTGTTCTCAGGGTCGGCCAAATTTAAAAAAAAAAAAAAATTATTTTTCCTTATGAAAAGATAGAGAATCTTTTCCCGATCATAACGGCACCAAATGTATGAAATTTGATGGAAAACTTACGGAATTATGCTCTCGCGAAGTTAGCGGTCTCGACGATGTTTACGCATCGGCGATTTTGCCCACTTTGAGCCCTATTTTCGGCCAATTCCAGTGTACTAGTCGACAAAAATCATAACTATTTCGCTAAAACTCTATTTTTTCTATCGAATGAGTACAAGAAACTACCCATTTACCGATTTCAACTATCCAATAAAGTGGTCAGAATTTAGCAATTTTGCCAATTTCACACAAATTTCAAAAGATGCCAATTTCCGAATAGGGTTCAGAATAAACAAGAAAGACATTCCTGGCACTAAAATAACAAGTTCTCTGTTCGTTAGTCATATCCCCAGGCCCCTCTTATATTTCTTTGGCTTTCCACTTTGAATTTTTATTCTCACAAAAAAAATAAGATTTACTGTTATGCAGACTACTGCATTAGTGCAGAAATGGTATAAATAATATCAGCGCACTTGTGAAAGAATATTAGACTCACCAGTTGATGTGTATTGGACGTTTGGCATGATTTGTTTACTTTTGAACTTTGGTAAAAATCGAACATTTCTGCTACTTTGAGCTCAATTTCAAGGTACTTTTCATTGTAAAACCAGTCATAATCATCTGAATTTCTGTAATATGTCTTCCATTCTATAAAATGAGACCAAGAAAACTAGAATACAACAATAAATACCATACGAAAATACAGTGCAAAGTCGCTGTTTTAATCCAAAAACACGGTCAGTTTTTTTTTCTCATTACGCACTGTGTGCTGCAGGATTTTTTTTATACTGCGCACACTGACCACATAGACCCATTCTTACATATGTAGGCCTACCAGCTTTCTCTCACTAGATTTGAGGGCGCTAGAATTTAGGCGTACTAGTACGTCAAAAACCCTGGGTCGTAAGACGTACTAGTACGTCCGAAACTCCCAAAGGGTTAAGGCCACTAAGACCAGCTTGAGTCACTGGACCTCTGTCGCACAACAAATCTATCCATAGAGCTCTATACCTCCCGTTCCTTTAAGACTTTCCTAAAATGGGCCATAACATTGTCATTGTACAGGTTGCCAACACAGCTTGCAGTAGCTGTGTCAGGGTGATTTTCATCCGTAAAGGTTTGCAGTTCAACCCACTTTGCACACATTTCCTTAATCTTTGAAGAAGGCAACTTCCTCAATTTCTCTCTCCCTCCTCAGAAGCAGTTTCCTCAGGTCTGGCCTCTTGCTGTTGAAGATGATCTTGCAG